TTCTATTTCTCCACCCTTGTTTTCCCTTCACCCACGCTCACAACAACAACGGCAAACAGTAATCACCTTTCATCACCCATCAACCCACCGTGAACAACCCGCCATTACCATCACCATCCCTAATCCCCACCGTAGCTCTGCATCCATGTTATACCTCAATTCTGCAAGCTTCGCCTCTGTTCGAAACCCCAATCCAGCAAATAACGAACACTGCATCTCAATTCCGTGATGCTGTCACCTCCATCTTCCAATTACCGTATTCACCGTAACCTCACCATGTTCATCTCACCTCCGCCACTGTTAACCGTTAATCTCCAACAGCATCACCTTCCGTCAATTTTCCACCCAATTTCCGCTCACGACCAACCCTCTCCATCGCCACTGTTAACGCTATCCACCATCAATTTTCTGCTTCTATAATTTCCAGCGACAACATACAACAATCGCCATTTCGATTTCTCAATCGCAAGCTTCAGCATCATCAATTGCCACAGCTCCAAATACCCGCTCCTGCAACGCGAGGCAATAGTCCATCTGCTTTCGACTTTGGCAAGTTTCGGTAAATCTCGATATCACTTTGCTTTTGTTGTTTGTGAAACTGCCATGCTGCTTTGATTTGAATTATAGTTTTGATATTAGTTTCGTTTCGTTTGTGTTAACTCTAATGAATAAAGTTTCGACGACATTATTATGCGAGTTAAATCTAAATGCTAGTCTAGATTTCATCTTGTGTTTTTCGTGTTGAATTTGGGATGTTGATGCTGTATGGATACAATTCAATTTAGATTTTGGTTGTTAGATTCGCTCATGGCCTTGTGACCGTTTCTTTGAGTTGTTTGAGTATGTTTGCATTGAATTTTATTGTGCGATAATAGTTTAATTATTGGCTTCTCGGAATGGTTTAGTTGTTGAGTTTGAATTTAATGTTACATCATTTTGCTTGATTCGATAGGAAGGAGACTTGGTTAACTTTTGTTGAACAATTGGTTTTGATTTTGATAGATGTTTCGGTTGGTATTACTTTGCCATTTCCTTTTGTTACAAACCATGTTTACATTGGAATTTTTGGGACATAATAGTTTTATAGAGTTGCTGCCCAGTTTTTTCAATTTGATCGATTATGGCTCAATTCAATTTTGTTTTCCATGCTTTGAATATGTTTTGAGTAGCACATAAATAGACGCTAATTGGTTTTTGAATACTCATAAATGGAATGAACATTTGAATTTGTTTTGAGACTTTAAGTCCGTGAAGTTTTTAGTTGCTGTCCAACTTTTGATTTGCATGAATAATGTTTGGTTTTTCATGGTTTGAATTGAATTATAGCATGGGTTTCTTTGGATTTGTTTGTGAATTGAAATTCTTGGATAATCATCATTTGTTTGGTTCATGCTTTGAATTCAATTTCTCATGTTGCAAAGTGAACTTTGGTTTTTTGTTTTCCGTTGTGTTTGAAATAGCGGTTGCTTTTGATACATTTGAAATAATGTGTGCAATGCTAATTTTTTGTGTTTACATGGAATAATGTCATGAATTCTTGATTTCTATTTGTGTAAATATTCATTTATTCATATGCATCATACAATTTCATTTTTTATTTTTTATTTTCTAAACACATATTTTAATTGTTGCAATTTCATTCATTTTAATTTTTATACTGCTTATGCTACTAACGCGTTTGTTACTGTGAAGGTTTCTGAAAATTGTTTCAAGCAATTCATTCCCGCATAACGCATCCAAAATTCATACACTTCTCCCTTTACCTTTTTATTGTATTTCACTATTTTGATTTAATATTTGGTACTGTAAATATATACTTGTACATAATATTTTGACTGTATATTTTACTCACTTCATTTGTAAATAAATTCAGGTGATGTAAATATTATTTTCATCGCATTGCGATTTTATCTTTTTAATTCCAACTAACTTTTGAAAATTGTACGGACGCACATAAGTTTTCCTGTGCTGTTAGTTTTGTCTGTACATTTCATGTGATGCAAGGAATCTTATACCGTGAGCTTTATTTGATATCTTGAGCCTTATCCGGTACCGCGAGCTTCATCTACGATTTTTTTATCCGTGATTTATTTTCACGTGTTGCACCTCTCGCTCATGATTCATTGCGCTTTATTCGCTGCTTGGAGTATTATCTTACATCTGGTTTTTTGATGCTGTCAACTTATGATTTATTTTCACCTGAGGTTTGGTATACTCTTAGCTTACTTTTTTTTTCCTGTCTGTGGCTTTAAACCCAAAGGAATGGGAATACAGTATTGACTTCATCGTGTCAAGTACTAGTTTCTTATTCGGTCGGATTCGCTTTACCGTATCGTTTGCCCTCTTGTACATAAGGACATTATTTTCCCCTTTCTTTAATTTTCAAAACTTTCTCATCTTTTTCAAAAGTTTCTTTGTTTATAAAATCGAACCGCTTTCATAATAAACCTAGAACTTATCGAGTGCCTTCTCTTTTAAAATTTCTTTTCTTTAAACAAACTTTAATTCATTTAAGCATACTTTGACATCTTTCAAAATTAACAAAAACAATTCAACTCATTCAAACCTTTTTGTGCGCTCGAGCACCTTTACCCTTTAAAACTTTTTTCGAGTTGAGACATGATTCATTGATAGTTGAGCAACATTCTCCTATCCTCATGGTTATAAAGGTGCCGACTTTTCCACTTGAGTACCAGAGGCATTCTCAAACCCTCACTCTTGCTGACGCAGGGTCCATCTTTCTCACACCTTGTGGGCGTTAGTCGAGATTTCTCTCCTAACAATGATGACTTGTCTCCTTGTTTAAAAACAATCAACAAACAAGTCTTTTCTAGTCGAACTACGGTGCTCTGACTTTCCCATTGCACGAGGGAGTACGTAGGCACTAAGTCTTACGACCCAAGGCGAGCAACAAAAATAATAAAAAAACATTTCATTTTCTTTTGTTTACAAATAAACATTCATTATTTTCCTTTAGCAAGTAAAACTTTACATAACACTCCTTTTAAAAGAAACCAAACAAAGTGGACCCTGCGGAGTACCGTAGATGTCTAGGATGCTAATACCTTCCCTTTGCATAACCGACCCCCCGTACCTCAATCTCTGATCTTTTTGGGTTTTGTTCGCTTTTTTCCCATTTCCCTTTGGAAACAATAAAGTGCGGTGGAGACTTCATTGTGTTGAGATAAGTCAATTGATGGCTTAATCTCAAATCTTTACCGCTATATTTCTTTACATATCATCACTGTCGCAATTGAGCACAGAAAAGTGTGTTACAGTACCCAAAGCATTTTGCAAACCTTCCCAAAATCTCGAAGTAAACCGCGTATCCTTTTATGACACAAAAGTTAGATGGAATACCATGCAAATTTACAAGCCTATCAATGTAAAACTTTGCAAGCTTCTCCATTGGGTAATCCATTCTCATTGGAATAAAGTGAGCAACTTTTGTCAATCTGTCCACAATTACCCAAAATAGCTTCACAATTACTCTGTGTTCTAAGTAAACCAGACACAAAATCCATAGAGATAATATCCCATTTCCATTCAGGAATAGATAATGGTTGCATCAAACCAGATGATTTCTGATGGTCAATCTTCGACTTCTGACAAATCAAACAAGAATACACAAATTCCACAATCTCTTTCTTCATATCTGGCCACCAAAATAATTTCCTCAAATCCTGATACATCTTAGTAGCTCTATGATGGATATTCATTCCACTACGATGCCCTTCCTCAAGAATCCTCTTCCCCAAATCGGCTATATCCAAAACATAAACTCTATCACGACATCTCATGATACCAGTCTCATCAATCCAAAAATTGCCACCTCGACCTTGATTGATCAATGTCAATCTATCCACAAAACTCAAATCAGATTTCTGACCTTCTCGAATCTCATCAAGAATGCCACTAGTAAGCTTCAACATACCAAGCTTAACTCCATAAGAAGTCTTTTCACAAACCAAACTCATATCTCAAAATTGATCAAGTAATTCCAACTCTTGCACCATCAACATCGACATATGCAAAGACTTCATACTTAATGCATCAGCTGCAACATTCACTTTACCATGGTAATTCAAACCAAAATCATAATCCTTCAAGAATTCAAACCATCTTCTTTTCCTGATATTCAACTCTTTCTGATCAAACGACATTTTAAACCATTGTGATCACTAAAAGCATTAAATCTTGATAAAAAATAATGCCTTCAAAGTTTCAATACAAACACAACAACAGCTAACTCCAAATCATGAGTCAGATAATTCCTTTCATGCACTTTAAGTTGCCTTGAAGAATAAGCTGCAACTTGTTGATTCTGCATTAATACACCTTTTAAACCCATAAATAAAGTGTCACAATACACAACAAACAGTTCTGCTAGATTAGGAAAAATCAAAATGGGAGCGGTTGTCAACCTTCTCTTAAGCTCTTGAAAACCAGCTTCACATTGTGCAGTCCAATTAAAACCTTGACCATTCCTAGTCAATTGCGTCAACGACAAAGCTAACTTGGAAAACCCTTAAATAAATATCCGATAATAAACCTCTAAACCAAGAAAACTTCTAATCTCATAAACAAATTCCGAAGCTTCCCATTGAGACACATCCTTAATTTTTGATAGATCAATAACAATACCACCTTGTGATATCACATGCCAAAGGAAACTCACTTCCTTCAACAAAAACTCACACTTAGAAAACTTAGAATACAACTGCTTTTCTTTTTTTTTTTGGAGCAAAAGAGAAATTTTATATTTCCAAAAACATATAAGTACAAACTGATCCATAAGGATCCAGGAAACAAGAAACCTAGAAAAAAACAACCTAACCATCTTTACTCAATACAAATAAATTCCCTATTTATGTGGTTAGCAACTTGCTTATATCCTATACATTTTAAGACAATATTTTCTATAATCCTTTTCTTTATTGTATCATCCGGCATATGTTGGTTAAAAATAAGACCATTGTGCATTCTCCAAACAGAATACACTATTTTTGCAGCCGCAATTTTAAGAATACACCTTCTCCAACCTTTTTTCCTTTTTTCATTGATAAGCCAAGTCTTATCATTATTCCAGTTGGAGGGGGCCCTGTTAAAACCAGTCCACATGAGGATGTTCTGCCAAATATCCCTAGTTCTACTGCATTCAAATAGTAATGGTCCAGGGATTCAGTTTCAGTATAGAAAACACAGTTAGCATCCATATTTAAACCATGTTGAATCAGCCTATCTTTTGTTGGAAGTCTTCCCTTGATTGCAAGCCACAAACTGAAAACTGCTTGAGGCCCTGCATAATTAGAGAAGAAAAGTTTTTTCTAGTCCATTTGGTCTAGCTTAACTCTCAAATTCTCATACATGCTAAAAGTTATAAACTTTTTCTTCTACACTGCAGTCTCTCAATAATCTGTCTGGATCACTTGGTCTCTGGTTTTCAATATCCTCTTCAGCATCCAAGAGCAATTTTATGGGGCTGCCACTGCATTACATCTTGATTCTTAAGGCAGTAAGCATTTATCCATCAGACCCATAACTTATCAACTTTGGACTGGATATTCCACAATAGTTTTACAATTGTGGCTAGATTCCAGTGCAACTGGTTTGTAATGTTGTGTCCTCCAGTATTTTTGAATGTACAATCTTCATATGTTTAGCATGATCCTCTTCACTCTTCGAATAGATAAAAATATCATCAAAGAAAACAACAACAAACTTATCCAAATACTGATGGAAAATCCTGTTCATGTATTCCATAAATACACAAGGTGTATTAGTCACACGAAACAGTATCACAAAATACTCATAATGACCATACCTTGTTCTAAAAGCAGTCTTCTGAATATCTTCACCCTTCACACGAATCTGATGATAGTCAGACCTCAAATCTATCTTACTAAACACACTTTCACCAACCAACTTGTCATACCCCAAATTTGCCCTACCCTTATTTATATTTAGAGTTTTTTTTTTATAAAATAAATCATATTATATAATTTTTATTTCTATGGGGGTGTAAAGCATCAGAGAGAGGTGTATCGATTCAAAATGGACCATCAATATCTGATGGCTCATTAGGCTCTAATAAAGATCCATTTTTAAATTAATAAGAGGGGTGTTTGTTTTAAAGAAGGTGTGGACAAATCACTTTTTAATAAGGCCCATTAAATTTTTTTTAGTGTATAAAAAAATCAAATTCTTTTTGTTATTAAAGCCCCAACACAAACCAGAAACGGGCCATGTGGAATTCTTTTAGTCCTTTTAATATTGAAGAGAGGAGTATATAAAGAATTTTGTTTTGGGTTAAAAGGCTCAAATAGATTAATACAGTGGCCCATTTTAATTTTTGAGTTGTGTTTTGAAAAATATTTTATTATAACATTATTATTATTATTACTATTATTATTATTATTATTATTATTATTATTATTATTATTATTATTATTATTATTATTATTATTATTATTATTATTATTTTATAATTATACTAATTTTTATTTTGATCTAAACATTACTTTTTAAAACTTAATAAGTGTTATTTTATTTTACTGATTAAAATATTGATTAAAATACTGAAGGTAGAGCCCAAACCAGCAGTTTCTTTTAACATACTGTTGTCTAAAGAAGCAAAAACGTAGCCTAAGCCCAAAGCATCCAAACGCCCGCTGTTCAAATTGCATAAACAACATCGGAGAAAATTTACGAAAACAAAATCAATGCGAAGACAGAAACATCAAAAACGTTCTTAAATTAATAGACCAAAATTCAAAAGAATTTCCTATTTCAAAAAAACTAATCAATTCTGAGATTCAAAAAGGAAACAAAAAGAAAAAACAAAAACAGATTACAATAGAGAGGAAGAGATTATTTACAGTAGAGGGTAGGGGTGTTCAAATCCAAACCAATCCAAATACAAAACCGAAAATCAATCCAAAAAACCGAAATCGCAAAAAACCGAAATTTATTGGATGTGTTTGGATGTCAACCGATCGGTTCGGATCAGATTTCAGATTAATTTTTCAAAACCAATCCAAACCAAACCAAACCGCATACGTATATTTTTATACTTATTTACTTTTTATTAGTGTGATATGCTACATGAAATTATTATTAGATGATAATAGTTTTTTAAATAATAGTTATTAGTTTGGTATAATTTATTTATTTTTATAATTTTAATCATAATCAACTATTCTCATTTTCTAATATTAACTTTTAATATATTATATCTTATATATTATATCAAATCTATGATTTATTAGTAGTTTTATAATATTAATAAAAATATATTGTGCAATTTGGATATCCAAAAACCGATCCAAATTAGACAGCATAAAATTGGATCGAATTGGATTGATTTTTTTAATATATCATCCAAAATCGAACCAAACCGCACGTAAATATATCGGTGGATCGGATGATTTTTTGTCTTAAAATCAATCCAAACCAAACCACGAACACCCCTAATAGAGGGAAAGAGATGAAAACAAAAACCTAAATCCCAAATCTCGCTGTCGCCTCTCTTCACCGATGCCATCAACCCCACTCTCCGCCGCTCGCAAGCGCCATTCCCAACCTCCAGAGCTCCTTTGCAAAATACCAGCCATCGACGATTCCTCCGCTCAACTTGCCGGAACTGGCACTTACAATAGATTCGCGATTGGATTCTCAGGTATCACTCTCACACGGGGCTCCGACGAATCTCCAAGCGACGCCTATTAGAATGTGACTCCGCGAGCATGACTACTGCCACCATAAGCCGGAACATTTGCGAGTCTCCGCTCCTCCACGTTATCAGTATTCCTCTCTCTTCTTTTAGATTGTTCTGTATCTCCATTTTTTTGTTGTTGTTTGTGTTTAAAAGAAAAGGGGTTAGTGAAAGAAAGAAGAGGATTGAGGGAGGGTCACGAAGAAGAGAGGAAAGTGGTAACGTCTTTAACCCAAACTCCTTTCTATTTTGTTTCTGTTATCATTAATATAGGATTGTTCTATTTCTTAAAAAAAAAATTTCTATAAAGGTAATAATATTGTGGTACCGTATATTCTATGAGGACTAAAAAAAAACTAACGTGCATAATAGTCCGTTTATATATTTTATTAAGTATTCTAATTCACTCAATTCTTCTTTTTTTCTCTTTTTCTATTTAATTTTATATTATAATAATCTTAAGGATAAATGATGTTAATTTTTTATTTATATACTATTTTAAAGAAATAATATTATATTATATTATATTTGTAGATTATTTTTTGTTATTATAATAGGTTCAATTCCGGTTCAAACTTATTAGTTTACTAAGATCACAAATCTCAACATAAATTCATTGATCATTTTTTTACTAACTCAACCTTTTTTCATTCAAATATTCTCAAAATTACGCAATTACAATTCACGTAACTCACCAAATACTTCATCCGTGAGCAACACGTGGCTAATATTCGGCCACGTGATGAGAGAGACTTTATCAGACTTCCTCCGCATCCTTCATAACGAGCCACACGTGGCTAATATCTAGTCACGTGAGGAGAAAGACTTTATAGACTTTCCCTTCCCACGTCTCAAAACAACTAACCAACAACATCAAATCATTTTCTACTAACATAAATAAAAAATAAGATGTTTTCGAAAAATATTAAATAAGCATTATCTTCGAATTAAACTGTGAACTGCGACTACCATCATACAATCTTCAACCCAGGCAAGGTTCAAGGTTAATTCGAAAGCAATTTTGCGTGATCCATAAAAAACACAAACAACCTTGTAAACTACGAAATGAGACTCAGATTCCTCCTAGGAGAATACGTAGGTATACGATTAAAATCGTGGCGAGTTCCCCCTAACTAAAATTCAAACCCTTTTCCCTAATAAATAATTAAAACCATATTTGCTAAACATCGCACTTCTAAACCTAGTATCCTTGTGAACAAGGTAGATAAGGGGTGCGTAACACCTTTCCCTCGTCTAGAACCTAGTCCAAACCTAGAATCTCTGAATTTCTTTTAGGGTTATTCTTTTATACTCCCTTCCTTTAGGATAAAAATTAAGGGTGGCGACTCTAATTTAAAAACCAGTTGCAACACAAGTGATCCATCAAATCATTAATCCTCGAAAGAAGATACTTATTCTTGATAATCACTTTGTTTAGTTGTCTATAATCCATACATAACCTCAAAGTACCTTCTTTCTTCTTAACCAACAAAAATGGTGCACCCCGTGGTGACACACTAGGATGAATAAATCTCTTCTCAAATAAATCCTCAAGTTGACTCTTCCATTCTTTAAATTCAGATGCTGACATCCGACATGGAGCCATCGATATTGGACTAGTTCTGTGAACTAAGACGATCGTAAACTCCACCTCACGCTTGGGAGGTAAATCACTTACATCTTCAGGAAATACCTCAAGAAATCATAAACTATTTCTAATTAGGGGAACTCACCGCAACTTTAGTCGTATTCCTACGTATCTTCTTAGGAGGAATCAGAGTCCCAATTCATAGTTCATAGTTGGTTGATGTTTTTTTATGGATTACGAAGATGTTTTGAATTTCCCTTGTACTTAGTCCGGGTGTGTGAATAACGGCATTATTAGACGAAGTTCACATTCGATTAAAATATTTTTGTAATTATTTTTGAAAGATATTTTAGAGTTAATTAATTTATTAAAAAAAATTAGTGTTGGTTAAGTATTTTTTAAATATATTAGTATATAATTATCTTATTAATATATGGTTAAAATAATTTTAACGCAATAAATAAATACTTGGATGAGTTAGAAAATAAATATTTGATTTTTAAAAATAATAGTAAAATAATATTAGAATAAAAAATAATAATTGTAAGTAATTAAAAGAAAAATAAAAATGCAGTAGGGCCCTGAATTCAGATGTTGAATTCAGGTCTAAACGCGGGGGGTGAGTTCTTGCGTAAGTTAGTAAAAATAGGGGGGTTTAGTTAGAAGGGGGCCCAAGTCCAGATGTTGGACTTGGCCCATTAGCGTTAGGGGGTGTGGATTTTATTGACGTAGCAAAAGCAAACAGAATATGGGTGTGAATATCATGGGCTTAGGCCTAAAACAACATAAGGTCCATTTGGACATCTTGTGGGCAGGTGCACAATATCATAATGGGAGTGGGTTTTTGGGACATTTGATGATGATCAAAGGATAATCTAGTAGAGGCGTATGGTACGGGGGTGGGAGTACCAATACAGGATTAGCGAGGATTATATATTAAAATTTCTTGGTTGAAGGCCCATTTTCTCTCTTATTTCTCTCTCTCTACACAAAACAACGAAACCCTTTTTTAAAACCTAGAGAGAGAGGCTCTGAACTCTCTCTAAAACTTAGTCGGCCAAAAATATCCCTGGCTGCGCCGTCCTTCGTTAGCCACCCCCAACCACCCCTTTTCTCCTGTTTTCTGGTTGATATTCAACTTGAAACTTTAAACATTCACACCCTCCGCCGTGAATGTTCATCTGGGTTTAAGAACCCAAAGAACCCTAAGGGGTTCACGAAGAACACTAAGAACCCTAACCTGTCTTACCCAGAAACCTTCAACAAATGATGAACCCTAACCCTTAATTTATAGAACCCTAACCCTAAATATGAACCATAACCCCAAATCAATCCAGAAAACCCAAGTTCTAACCAAAACCCCAGAATTATGTCCCAACCACAACAATCAATCGAGCCCTAAAAGCTAAGTGTTGAGAGTTACCGTTTGTGCCGTGAATCTTCTTGTATAAATTCTCCTCTTATGATTCTTCTAGTTCTCTTCCTCTAATATCTTCTCCTCTCTTCTTTGCAGGTATGTGAGATGTGTAACGGTAGAAATGTTCAAGACTAAGTCATTGGATTGACTAGACTTTGTACAAATCAAAATAAAAATTGCCACCGCGCTTTATTGTTTCCAAAGGAATGGGAAAAGAGCGAATAACCCAAAAAGGGGGAAAGATTATAGGTAAGGGGTTGGTTATACAAAGGGAAGGTATTAGCACCCTAAACATCTACGGTACTCCGCAGGAACCTCTTTGTAAAATATGTATATTTTGGCTATAAAAATGTGTTGTACATAAAATGGATGGTGGAGGTTGAAGAAGTGAAAAACACAAGAAGGGGGGTTGAATTGTAAAACTGAAAATCAATGCAATGAACACGATATTTTTATCCTGGTTCATTTGATCTCAAACTACTCCAGTCCACCCGTCAAGGTGATTTCGCCTCTCTCCAACGAGGTCTTAATCCACTATATTCAACTGAATATTACAATCTGCTTTAACAACTGCTAAAGCCTTCTTGATGCAAACCACAAACCGGTTTGTCAAGGAATTACTTTCTTACAAAGAATTGAAATCAAGGTGTGTGAATGTTTTCTACAAAACTGTTTATCACAACTGTGATACTACACAACTTAAGCTTATGGAAACTAGATTGCTAAAATAATTGAATAAGAATTTTTGGAGCTTTTAGCAAACTGAGAGTAAGGAAGATGATGATTAGCTTTTAGGCGTGTAAATTGATGTAGAGCATTAGCCAATTCAATCTTCATTGACTTGTTTATATAGCATTGGAATTAGTGAACGTTGGAGCCATAATTCTGTTTCAATGCCAATAATAATCTTTCCTTATTAAGCAGATCTTGTCTGGAATGATGCTGTTGGTAATAAATCATCTTGAATGCACAATACCGTTGCTACTTAAGCGTGTTCTGGCTTTGGCTCATTCTGACGCTGCTTAAGTGCTGATGAACTGTTGTTGTCTTTATCAGAGTTCAGAGTGTTGAGCACAGTTATGTTCATCAAGCTTCAGCATAAGCGTGAGTTGTTCTTCTGATTCTGGTATCTGATATAGCATCATCTGATGCTGATGTTGATATCCAATTTTCTGATGTTGATGAGGATGTTCTCATGCTGATACCCATCAGAGTTTCTGGAAAACAGAAAGTAATTTTTAGGTAGCAAATAGTTCTTACATGAATCACATAATTAATATATCTTTTCATTTTGTTATCATCAAAACTTAAACTTAGGGTAGTAGATTCAAACTTTGTTCTAACAATCTCCCCCTTTTTGATGATGACAAAAACTAGATATTTTTTTAAAATTGAAAATAACGTGAAAAGTGTCAGAGATAACTAAATGATAAGTTGCATCAGAATTAAATAGGAAGTTATCAAAGATAAGGGATAAAGAGATATCAGAGTTGGGATCGGAGATACTCCCCCTGAATTTATTACTTCCCTTTTTAATTCCAAGAGTTCTTCAGGATCAGATCTTTATTGAATTTTTTTTGAACATCAGAATGTTAGAGCTTCAGATCAGAATATCAGAGCTTTGACTATCAGAACTTCAGATCAGAATATCAGAGCTTCAGAGCTACATTGTATCAGAGAGCATTCTTGTACCTGTAGACTTATGCAAAAACAGAAAACATTCAAGTATGTCAGAGTGTTAGAATGTTTGAGACTTTTTGTCTCAGTAATCCGTTATTGAAAAATATCATTCTTGTTCTCCCCCTTTTTGTCAGCAATCAAAAAGTGTAAGTGATGTGCTAAAACGATCAGAGCAGAAAAACTTGTTATATTAAAATATTTAGAGCCAGACAAA